ACCAACTTGATGCCCATCTTGGATGATACTCCACGGCAACTCTCCTCCTATCCGAACGATCTCCCGTGCCCCGTACCCGACAATCCCTCGCTGATGTCATCCATCCCGAGTCAGTCTCCCGCTGTAACTTTCAGACTTCGTTAAGCTTTCCTCTGCTCGATGATGCCGCCCGCCGGCCCCGCAGTCACGGACCCGCCGCTGGCCGGTTCGGAAGTCTACCGGCTCCCCATTGTGAGCGGGATGTGGGCCCAATCCGAGGTTCATTTGCCGATGCGCCGCGGTAGACCACGTTCTGCAAAGGTCGACGGTTTTCCACGCCTCCTTCACTAATACCTTACCTACCTTACCTTACCTAAGATGTTGCTATTCCCTGCTCCGAGACCCGACCTGCCAGGCCGGAGCTCCCAAATCGAAGTTGTTCCAATCCTCCTCTCTTCCGTCTCCACCAGCGAACTGACTTGGAGCACTCAGCACGCCATGCTCGATTCTGGCCTTGGTCCGCGAACACCTTGCCTCGATGTCAGGTAATGATATCAGAAGCTGAGTCTACATGGGTTGGGTGGGATCTAGCACTCATGTCGGCGCTTGAAGGTTGGAAAGAGAGTCGCGATGCTTTGGACGCAATGGCACTGGGTATACTGCACTGTAAGCGCAACTATTAAGCACTAATCTATCATCGTACTACACACATAAGCGCAGAGCAATAATCCCTTGGGCGGCACGGCCTTTCCGACGACAAAGTTGCCGTCATAACACTCTTGCATCTCGGTGGTCTACATCTACATGATTCCAAGCCCCTTTACTTCCTTGCCCTGCTTGGTCTGTACCCACTCCTTCCGTAGCCTTGACTTCCACTCCTCCAGTTTGCACACCTGATCCTTAACCAAAATCTCATTAGCCTGAAGGTTGACTGTCAAGGGCGGCACCATGAGCCAGTCGTGGCTAGGCCTGCACACCGAAGTGTGACCTGGCTCAAACTTCTGAATTTTGATGACGTCTAAGCAGGGCATGCAAAACTTCAAGTCGATGCAGTACCGACACACTGCAAACGTTTCCGACGGCTCAAACCTCTTGAGGCAGTGGTCGCAAGATACATCGTTGCCTTCTGAGAAGATCTTCGTGAGGAATATCTGCTTGCTCCGTCTGTTGGGTGACAATGACATCCTAGGTGACAGCCCGCCGATCTTGGGCGAGCTCGATCGTCTTCGGTCAGCCTTCAAGTGACCGGAGATAGTAGCAGACAGCAACGGGGTTCTTGTCGACTGCCATAACGCTTTGGCATTGTCTTCGTCTCCGGCGGCAAGCAGACACCGCTGAAGGTGGCGGATGCTGATCTCGTCATTCTGAGGCTCCTCGTCCTCTAAGAGTTTGAGACATTCAGAGACGAGACTGTGGACGAGTTGCCGTAATTCTGTGTCTCTGTTGCGCAGACGGTATAGCACTATCAGGGAGATGGACGGCTCATTGAAGTCGAAACCAGCCATGTGGAGCGGGACATTCTTGTTCTGGTACTTTTCCTGCTGCTGCATGAGCTTCTCCAGCTTCTTGATCCATAGACCACTGGCTTCGGATACCAATGTCTGGTCAGCCTCCAGCGCTTTGATGAAGTATGCTCTGGTAAGCTGCTTGAATGAAGCAATGTACTCGATCCGGACAGGCAGACTGCCTTTTGCTTTGTAATCGTGAAAGCAGATCCTTTCATGAATGGGGATAAGAGTAGTGTAATCCTGCGCCGCCAAAAAGATGTTGCCGAGTGCGTTCTGCAGATAGAATTGTTTCCAAGAATCTTGGTCGTCTTGCGCGGACTGGATGGCACTACGGTAGCGTTCTGCCAAGTCATCCGTCCTCCTTGGATCTGCACGAGCCGCCGCCTGTGGAAACCAGTCCTTGATTGATGGATCAGGGATCTGGGTCAAGAGGAATTGTACGAAGCGAGAGTTTCCTCTATCCGCATCCGAAAACCGGCCATCCATTTCATCAGAGAGCTTCATCAACTCTGGAAGACGGTTGTTCTCGGTAAGGACCTTGATATAGGCGATTTGGGGTTCAAAGCCAGGGGCGTCATAGACGTCCATTGCCTTGCGACAATACTCGATCGATTCGTCGATGCGGCCCATGCGGTTGTAGCACTCCGCAATCTGAGCCTGATTTCTGTAGAGTCTCCATTTGGCACCTTTGACGTCCTGGTCGGTATTGTAAAGACCCTCAGCCATGCGCGTCTCCTCCAACGACTCGCATTCACGATGTAGTCTCAGGGCCTCTTCGTAGTTGCCATTCAGGCCGTGACACAATCCCATTCGGCCAAAGCTTTCCGCCTTGTTACCATCCTTATCGAAAGCGTTGTTGAAGTATTCCAGTGCTTTGGTGTGCTCTCCCAAGTTCAAGAGAGTACTGCCGATTCTCCGTAGCCAATGTCCCGTCCTAGGCTGATTCGCCCAGTCGGCGGCTTGCTGGATCCTCGTTTCCAACGACACATCCTGCCAGTGATATTCGGAATCGGACCATTTGCCGCCCCCCTCCAACAGCGGCAGTGACTGGACGACACCGAAACAGAACAACGTCGTCATGTATATTCGAGACCCTTCGCCAAGCCAAGCCTTGGCGAACGTCCTCCCCATAGGTTCAAGCAGTTTTGCAGGGCTTGCTGTCGCCGACTTGGTCCACTCCTTCTGCTCCGGGGTCAGAGAGCTTATGGCATCGGCATCTCTCAGCCACTGAGAAACAATCTCGATATTCCGGTCAGTCCAGATATCTAGACTTTCCTCAAACAGGTTCGTCCAGGTAAGAAGGATATCCGGGTCGGTCAT